TTATCTTTAAATGTCTCCATAAAATTGGTATGTCAGGATTCTACCATAGCTATTTTTAAAATTCCTTATAAATCACCCTATATATTAGTAAAAATCCATAAATTCAAATCTTTTTAATAATTATTTTATCTAAATAACCTCTAAATTGATATTAAAAATTTTGTAGATTTTTTTAGTTGGCCGTAGAAAAACTGTACTCTATTATATTAATAATAACAACTTTATTGACACAAAATTTAAGTACAATAACAATATTAAACAATTCATATACAGTGTGGAAAAGCCAAATGGAATAAATTCATTATTTCGATTACTATACATATTTATAGAAAATCCCGAAACACGTCAAATTTAATTTATAAATTGACATTCTTTAAAGTGAAAATGTGATCCCTACCTTCAACCCCCTTTGAGTAACAGTTACAACCCCTAATTTTTTATATGGGAAGTATAGGCTTGTGATATATCGTTTGAAAGGTCTCTTCATTCTCTATCCAAAAATGTTATTGTTTTTAAATTTATTGCAAAAATTAACATAAAATAAAATAACTGGTAACCGAAATTTGTTACAATACACTCAATATGTAATATTTAATTGTTCATAACGTAAAAAATATGAATGTCAATGAAGTAGATGTTCAAAATGCTCATGCAACATCCTAATCTTGAATAAAAATGTCTTCTAACGTTAATTAACATATCAGGCGTGACCGATCTAATCGCAAGCATTATTCGTTCTCTTAAGTCATCTAAATCACGTGGTTTAGTTTTGTAAACAATATTTTTCACATAGCCCCATAAAAAAAGTCTAATGTGGTAAGATCAGGTGATCTTGTTGGCCATTCTATTGATCCTCGCCTCCCTATCCAGCGATTTGGAAATGTTAAATTGAGGTACTGGCGGACATTGATTTGGTAATGTGGAGGTGCTCCATCTTGCTGGAACCATATGGTATTTGCTGGAACTTGAGGGTTTCCTGGATCAGGAAATAAATTTGCCAAACTTGGCACCATATCATTTTGTAGTAGTGCTAAATAATTATCGCCATTCAAATTCCCCTCAATGAAAAAGGGACCAATAATATGGTTTTTAACAATCCCTGCCCAAACATTAACTTTTTGAGGGTGTTGTGTATGGACCTCTCTCATCCAGTGAGGACTTTCCGTTGACCAGTAGCGGCAATTTTGACGATTAGCATGACCGTTAACGGAAAAAGTGCACTCATCAGAAAACATAACGTTTTCTAATTGGATGGTATTGTTATTCAACATTTCCATCATTTGTTCGCAAAAATTTGTTCTCCTATTAAAATCGTCTTCCATGAGTTCCTGAGTCGGTATCATTTTATAGGGATGCATTTTATTTTCATTTAATATGTTTAGTATCGATGTATGGCTGACATTAAATGTTGCAGATGCTTGTCTACTCGATGTATGTGGGTTTTCCTCAAACTCATATCTAATTTGATATCATCACTCAGTGCATTTGTAGCTGTTTTTTTTTTTCATCTGCTTTACATGTCTAAATTTGCGAAATTGCTTCTCCATTTTACTAATTGTACCTTGGGATATAGGCGGCAAATTTGGAAATTTTTCATGAAATAGGCGAGCAACTTCCATTTGTGTTCGGGTGTTATCTCCGTAACCAATCATATGGAAAACTGTTATTTTATGCATTTCTGTTAATCGTACCATTTTTATGAAATTCAAACGACAATTATAATATTGACAATATCCTACAGTTATAATTATTACAAACCAATTTACTAAGGCGTTTTAAACAAACTAACATTGCTAGGATAGTTTTTTAAAGGATTTTTTTAAATTGATATTTTTGCTTATTATAAAGACTAAAACGGGAAATAGTAGTGTGGGTACTCTAGATAATTTCAGTATAAAATGATTTTATTTTCTTTTATGAATTTTTGCAATAAATTTAAAAACAATAACATTTTTGGATAGAGAATGAAGAGACCTTTCAAACGATATATCACAAGCCTATACTTCCCATTTAAAAAATTAGGGGTTGTAACTGTTACTCAAAAGGGGTTGAAGGTAGGGATCACATTTTCACTTTAAAGAATATCAATTTGTTATTTAAATTTGACATGTTTCGGGATTTTCTATAAATATGTACAGTAATCGAAATAATGAATTTATTCCATTTGGCTTTTCCACACTGTATTGGCAATAAAGTTAGGAAAAAAAAACGATAGGTACATAAAATAAAATAATGACAATAATAGTAATACTGTTGGGTTCTAATTAACAGTTCTGTCCCTTAAGTGGCGCTGCGAAAAAGTAACAAACTCTACACAGAACACGAGGCTAATAAGTAGTTGATGCCAATTACACCAAATTAACAACACTAACAATAGTATTAATAATAATAATCATCACTACTGAATGTAAACTTAATATAATACACATAAAATACAAAATTTAAACAATATCTAAGATAAAAATTGGACAAGGTTAACAAAATAATAAGTAAGTAAAGAAGAAAACTATGATTGAAAACAATAAATTCGTTTTTAGTTTTATTGAACATTGTTAACAAATATTTTTGATGACTTTGAAGAAGATACTTTTTTAACTTCTTTCTAAGCCTGTCCTTATTTCTCAAGGTTTTTAAAATTTTCTGGAACAGAGTTGTATAATTTTGGAGCATAATATTCGTAGGATCTTTAAGTTATTGTTTTGAACATCAATGGAACCGTATAAAAGTATCACGAGTTTCGTATTGATGAGTTGAAAGCAGTGCTGAATGTTTATTTACGTGACATTTAATAGTTGTGCATAAAACATAAATTTGGGTTTCAGAGTAGAGACTGTCGGAGGGATATCTACTATTTTTACAAAATATAAGTTATAGGAAACTCCTTTGTATATCTTCCAGGGAATTAATGTTTTTAACGCACCTCCTTCCTCATGCCACTATTCCATAACGGATGTGTCTTTACACTAATGAGTAGAAGGTATAACGTTTTAAGATAAGGTATTGCTAACATATCTTTAGTTTTTTAAATTTATGTAAATATGTCCCTAACTTATTCACTGTACACCTTATGTGTAAATCTCATTTTAGCTGTGAATCCATAATTATCCCTAAATATTTTATTTTTGTTGTAAAGTTAGTATCAAATGGAGTATTCCTTCTTATTTTTAGCTTATCAATATTAGGAAGTCCAGAAGAATTACAGCAGAAAGGTAGATAATACGTTTTATCAACATTTAGTGTTTTTTAGTAGTTTTTTCTATAACCAATATTTTATTAAACAGAAATCCGTTTCTGTTTTTTTTTTTTCAATTCTTGCCAACTATCAGCTTTGTAGAATATAGCAGTATTATCTGCAAAACCGACAAATGTTTCTATTTCCACTTTAAGAGAATAGATCATTTATGTATATATTAAATAATGTGGGTCCTACCACGGATCCTTGAGGTACTCCACAGTCAATCACTTTTACACTGCTCACATCCACTTTTATTGTCTGACATCTTGATGTTAAATAACATTTAAATAATTGCAGAGTATACTATAGTCTCGAGTAAATTATCCGTTTCGCGTATGCTCAAAACTCATCTTCGTGTCATACCGCCAATATATATTAGACTGGGCCAAAAAAATAAAACAATTTTTTTTCTTAGTGGAACTATGAAAATATTGTTCATGACGACAAAAAAAAATTTTCCTGAAAGTTTGAGCCCTTAATAATAATATTAATATAAAAATTATTTAAGAGCACCATAAATTTCCTCATCGATGAAATTTTGGTTTTTCTTGGTGCGATATAGCCACTTTATCCATTATTTTTGCACAAACTACTATTATTTGGTACTATTTAATCAGTACCAATATTTAAACGTGTCAGAATAATTGAATCGTTTATTTTAGAAAAGGACTAACATTTTCAGCCGGAGAGGCTAGCCGCGAGCTTAGTGTGCATTCACTTACTCGCAACAGTTAAGCAGTGATATCTCCGGTCACGTCGTGGATGTGTCATCGCTGGGAGGTTTCACCATGGGCCGTGTCACCATGGGATTCATCATACCTAGCGTTTAACCATCGACGACGTGGAATGAATGAGATTGAATGAGGGTGAGAATGGCAAAGTAGTAGGACCTTCAAATGGTGGTACAATAAGCCGCAGGCTGCAGTGCTGCCAGACTACAGACGGATTAGGGTGTAGCACGGGAGGTCTGAAGGGTGTAAAAAAACCTAAATTTTCGGCATTTTGAGTTTTTCAGTTCGTTACATTATTTTAAGGTAAATTCATCTTTTAGTGCAGAAAGAGACCATCTTCCGTAAATACAGAGCCCATGAATTCGACCTAGTTTTAAGAATTTATTTGAGAAAGGTACCAAGTGACATAGTTGGTACCTTTCTCTAATAAATGGCTACTCGCGCCACCGAGGATTATTTCAGCATCACCGCCATTAGCTGTCAAGTAGAATTAACCTATAAAAATTATATTGTCATAATATTGTTGTGTCAAAGCGTATATTGAAAGCGTTCTCTAAGAAAATAAGAATTATGAGTGATACCGACGATACCCAGTCTGAAAAGTCAGTGGAAGAAACAAAAGAAAGGAACTTAGGGGTTAGAAATGACAAAAATTATAAAAGGAATGTTATCAAAAGGTTCAGAGTTCAGGGGAAGGTTTACGTAAATTACAAGGAAAATGCCATGGATGCAAGAAAGCTTGGAGACGGATGCCGGAAAGTTTGCAATCAGCAAATTCTTTCGGTAATTACGTACTGACCATTCTTTTTTTTAGTTATTCAATAAAATGCTTTGAAAAATTGAACACTGATATAAAAGATGCGCTTTTTACTCGCTTTCGTGCACTTAACACTAAGGATAATCAGGACATATATTTGCAAGGTCTTTTAGAAGTAGTTAACATTAAAAGAAAATCTCAATCACAAAATCTAGAGAACTCAAAGAGAAAAATTTGTTCCTTTCATAATTATGTCCCAGTTAATGGTAAATGAAGAATGGTCTGTCAAAAGGCATTTCTTAGTTTGTTTAGAATTGGCATCAAAAGGTTGAAGCGTTTAAAAGGTCTTCTAAAACAAAACATAACTCCATATGACAAACGGGGACAAAATGTAAAAGGAAATGTTATTTCAGAAGAGAACAACGTACTAATTCGCCAGAATATTGAATTATCTCCAGTTAAAGAAACTCATTACAGCAATAAATCCTATCTATATCTTGATGGTAAACTTAATATGAAAATTATGGTTGATATGTTCAAAGTAAAATATTCAACAACCAAAATTCGATATTCTTACTTTGTGATATATTTTTATGAGCATTTCGACATTCACTTTGGCCGTTCACAAGTAGACACTTGTTGCAAGTGTGAAGAACTGGACCTCAAAATAAAAAGTCCTTTGCTAGGAGATGCAGCTAAAAGAGCAGCAGCTCCGAACTTGCAGTACAAAAAAGAAGAGCCATAAAGTTTTATTTGTCGTTGAAGGAATCTACTGATGAGTGCAAGATTCGTGATGACCTGGTCGTAATAACATTTGACTACATTCAGAATGTCCACTTACCTGAAGTTCCAGTCCAGGATTTATTTTATCTAACACAACTAACAGTTAGTATTTTTGTATACACAACTGTTAGACTGGCAAGTCATTCTTCTATATTTACCATGAAGGTGTTGCCAATAATGGACCAAACGAGGTATGCTCGTTCCTGTGGGGCTATATTCAACGTAAAGCTTCAGAAAATGTCCAGGAATTATGTCTTTATAGTGATAATTGTCCCGGGCAAAACAAAAATTATTCCTTAATACGCATGTGTGCAGCATTAGTTGAAACTAATAGATTTAAAAAAAGTGGAACATTTTTTCCGATCAGAGGGCATTCCTTCTTACCTAATGACCGAGACTTTGGTGTCATTAAATGACGTTTCAAGCGATCCGATCGTATATTTTCTATTCAGGAATACGCTAAAATAATAATAGCTTCAAGTGCGCAGAAAAATTTTACTGTCATGGAAGATTCAGGAGAATAAATCTTGGATTTCAAGCAATGGTGTCTCAAATTTTATAAAAAAAATGTTATGTCTCTGGAAACTTCAAAAAAAAATCCCCAGGGCACAAAAGGAACCCTTTTCTGTTGGATATGTCATGTGCTCAGAATTTATTGGAGGTCTGACGAACCATACTTTTAAAATCCATATGCCAAGAAACGTCGAAAAAGTTCCGGTTAGAATGCCTGAAAAAAAAACCCATCAAGAGAGTGTTCAAATATTGGAAACAAAAATAACGGATATCTGTAAAACAAGGTTATAGGTTCCAGAGGAATATCACCCATTCTATTAAGAAATTTTGGATTGGTCTACAAAAGTTTCCAAAAAGAAAGCGATTGCATTACAAGCTTATTACAAATTTACAAATTATGTTTGCAATAAATCTTTAATGTTTAAACATTATTATTGTTTTTATTTGTGTAATTCTTATAAAAACAACCCACTGTTTAACATTTCAGTGATAACGCCAAGTTGATTCATTTAAAAAAATAATATTTTCCATTTATTTGAAAAAAGTACTAACTATATTTTTTGTAATCTAATTTTTTTCGCTAAAAAAATACATGTTTTAACATAAAAAATATCTAAGCAACTCTATCTTGAACTAATTCTGTCGAAAGAATAGCTACAAATAAGTTTTTACTCATTTTCTCAAAAGTAACAAAATGTTATTTAATACCTTTCTGAAATAAACGATTCAATTAAACTTATGCTAAAAAAACATTGGGATGTACCACCTTAAAACACCCCAAACGACCACCAAAAACAATGAAAAGCTTTAATATTAAGAAAACGTCAATGACCAGAGTTCATGGTAGTACGAATACGTAAAAAAATACTGAAATTAATCAAAGGATCCTCCATATATTTCCTCGTTGATGACATTTTGGTTCGTCTTCATGCGATATGGCCATCATATCCACTCTTGTGGCACACACTATTATTATTTGGTAATATTTTAGCAGTACCAATATTTAAACTTATGCCCAAAAACAATAGGTTCGTTAAAACGCCCCAAACGAGTGCCAAAAACAACGAAAACGTTTCCGATTAAAAAAGCGTCAATGACCAGAAAACAAGGTACTACCGAAGCGTAAAAAAATTACCGAAATTAGTCAAGGGCGCCTCCATAAATTTCCTCGTTGATGACATTTTGGCCGTCGCCTTCTCTTCACCTGTTCGTCCATCGTCAGCGGTGGTGTCTTCCCCACCATCGCTCAAGTACTTCTTGCAGATGCTGGCGGTACTTACTCTATAGAGGAAAAGAAGCGGTTCGTCGTACGAACGGGCATTTCTGTTGTAGTAGTGACCGCGAAAGGAAGGCCAAGGCCATTATCGTCTACCCGGCCAGTGTCAGTGTCATTTTAACAGGAAAAGAAGATTCTTGCGATAGCTGCGTAATCGAAGAAGTGGTACTGATTGATAACGATCACTTTTTGGGGTACTACCGCGAACTTTTGTGTCAATTGTTTTTGGTTTTCTGCGTGGTTTGAACGCAGAAAAGGCTGAAGAAGGTAGGTCAGTAATTTTGTTATGTAATAAGATGGTACTGCAACGATAAGTGATATTGTTTTATTTAAACCAAAGTTTGATTTACGGTTAAAGTGCTGTAAAAATACACAATTGATTATGAAGAACTTGTAATGAGATTTTTCATTTTTTTACCATTAATTTTTTAAATAAAAATCCGACGTAATTTGCTCATAATTATGTATGTTTGAATCCTTCATATAAAATGACGAATAATCAAAAAATTATTTACAAATAATTCGTTCTTCAATTATATTTTTTTTTTTTAATTTTGGTCCATAAATGTGTAAATTTTTTTTAGGGCTTTTCATTATATATTTCCTTAGAAACGTTTCTGTTGCAATAAAGCTTTCATCGCTGTCTGCGACGATACGAGGAGGGGTCAATTTAAAAATCTGCAAAAAAGAATGTTGCGACTGTAAAAATAAATTATTTGATAAAACTATTTTTTAAAAGTTCTGAAGTTGATAAAAATATCAAAATATTTATGTATTAAAAAATGCCAATTAAAAATAATTTTAAATTAAAACAAAAATGGCAGATTATGAGGCATTAAAAGAGATTTTTATATCAAAAATAAAACTTCATATTGAAACGCAAAATTACGAAAAATATATCAAAAACCCAGTTTACAAAATATACCTTTAAGAGGTAATATTTAGTTACAAATTTAAAAACATTTATGAGTTCCTATATATTAGATTAGGGACGTCAAAAATAAAATAAATATACAAAAAAATTACTATTAAATTATGGATTATTATTTATACAAAAATAAAAAATAACTAAAAATTTTTTTAATAATTATTTCACTAATATACCTAAAAATTATTCTTCAATTAGTCTAAATGAAAAAGATCAATTTAAATATTTTTGATGAGAAATGCCCGAGGAAATATTAGGTACATTTTTTCGAAAAAATAGTTATATTTCTTCTAGAGCTAATAGATTATATTATTCTAAATATTTCTAATAAAAATTAATAAATCATTTAATCTTATTTTTTGACAGAAATTAAGCAAAAAAAATTAAATAAAAATAATTAATAATTTAAAAATTAACTAATACGATTTTAACTCAAATTGTGATAAAAAAATCTTAAAGCCTAATTAAACAATTAAAATATTCTCTATAATGTACAGAAATAATGTTTATAATACATAAAAAAATTGACAGAAAATACAAAATGAATTAATATTTCCACCAAAAAATAAAAAGTTAATTAAGAAATTGCTAATAAATAATTAGACAATACTCCGTATACAACGTTACAAAATTTTTTAATCAACATCCCAGCATAATTTTAATAGCTGGTTTCAGAACTTACGTTAAAATGTAAGCAGGGGAGCCACGATATCAACTATTTCAAAGTATCCATTTTTATTGTATGTAGGTATATCTTTTTATTACAAAAATTTAAATATTATGCCGGTCTTGTAAAAATAAAAAGAATAATTTTTTTTTCTATAAGACTCAAAGGATTATAAAAAGTAAAATAATATTTTAAATTAATTGTTAATTTATTAAGCAAAGATTAAACATTTTCGAAGAAAGATATTGAAAAATATTCTATTAGGTATACATTGTAATCTACATGGAATTAACCCAAGTATTAATATTATTATTAAAATTTTTCCGAGGAGTAAACCACTCCCGAAATACAGATACGTTTTTACTCAAATTCACCAAAATTACTAAAAATTTTCTCGAAATTTCCGAAACCATCACGAAAATCATGGTTGAATTCATCATTGAAATAACTTCGAAATCAATTTGTTTCTCAGAACTACCAAATGCAGCAACTTGTGCATCAAAATACAAGGGAAGAGTAAAAAAAGGTCGACCAAAGATCAAACATCAAGTGAAGATATTTAAAAAAAAAGTTATAGAGTGTGTTACTTAAATTGGAACCATATATGAAACACTTTTTTATTATTGGTTTTGTGAAAAAAATTATTCGTGATAAAAAGTTCTGCATGGTCCAAAATTTAAAATGTAACCATTAGATATTATTATTTTAATACCGTATACGATGTTACCGTTCTTAAAAAAATATTAATTTTACTCAAGAGTGAAGTACCTTTATTATTTGATATTTAATGGTTGTATTTTAGGTTTAAGACCTTGCTCGACTTTCTAAAAACAATAACTGTTTTCCTAAAATTGATAAAAGCTTTTCCTATGTCACCAACAGAACTGTCTACATAAATAGGCGGCATATGAAAAACTTTTTTATTAATAATATTGGGAAAAAAGTTATTCATTATAAAAAGTCGAGCATGGTCTAAAACCTAAAATACAACCATCAAATATCAATTTTTATCAGTCGTTTATAAAATAAAGATACTTTACTTTTAAGTCAAATTCATATATTTTGAGAAACCTCGTATATTAAAAAAATTGATATCTGATGGTTGCATTTTCTTGGACCATGCAGAACTTTTAATCAGGAATAATTTTTTGCACAAAACCAATAATTAAAAAGTTTTTTATATGGTTCTAACTTATGTAGATATACTGTATATAACGATTTCGCCGAAATCACAGAAATCGTATAAAACAAAGAGATATTTCGGCGAAATAATTGAAATCGTATAAAATTAAGGAGATTTCGGCGAAATCACCAAAATCATACGAATTTACGGTGATTTCCGAAATACGGGTACGTTTTAACCTTAGTGATTTACCTACCCCTCGAACTTTTACTTTACTATATTCTGCGACAATAATTTTCCGTAATTTTTGTGGTATTGGTCTCCTTTTACCTGTCAATAAAAAACATGTAATTACCAAAAATAAATTGTAAAATAAAACAAAAAATTAAATTCTAATAATCAGTAGCTGTTTAAAGATTCTGGAAAACATGTTCTCAAATTTAAAAGTGGTTGTT